ATACCCATCTTCCTGAAATTTAAAAAAAAATGAGCGTACTCGAATTACAGCGTTTATTCATCTTAACGAATACGTCATCTCGTATAAAAATATACTCTTTAGAATATCATTTTCGCGCTATTCAAAATAAATCTTCTGTGATTAACATGTGCAGGAAAAATGGTATATATGCAGGTATTTGAAAACTATATTTGAACATTTTATCTGATGCAAAAACAAGAACAATATTCCTGGACTTATCGACAAGAAATTTATACAAGTTCCCCAGGCGGATACTCAAGCGGCAAATACATTGCAAAATACGTTCTATAGCAAGGCTATAAGTAGGTTACATCAGAAAAGAGATCGTAGTATTCTCAAGACTAATATTACCCAGAGGTGGAAGTAGATTCTACTTCGCGAGAAAACTCGTAAAAGCTTGATACTTTGCCGGCTTACATTATAGGTAGAGACCTTATACCACAAACATCTGGATCTCTTTCCTTATGTTCCTTTCTGTGATAAAAAATTGTAGCTATATTTAGCTGCTTCTTTTCTATGAACCATTATGGAAGAAATTATTTGCAATCAGATATATTAATAAAGAGATACTTATAATGAAAACATTGATTTACGTTTATATTCGTTTGTTTTTGCATTATTGTTAAATTGCAATTGTTTGTATCGATCAGTAATGAATAATTCTCCGCGATCCTAATTACCGCTTTAAACTCATCGTGCCACAATATTAAACGTAAAAAAAGTTTTGGTGGGATAGGCGTTAATAGTACAGCTTACCCTGAAACAATCGTCGACGACCTTGCATCAGTCTCGACGGGCAACTTACAGCTAGCGATGGAATTGACACCCTCGTGATCTGATGCCAAATTAAAATTCTACGAAAAATCTTAAAAAGAACGCAATTTCAATTTCAAGATGGCTACTTTTAACGCGTAACTTCAAACTTTTTATAAACTTGTCATACTGTACATTTAATTCTTTACTGTGGCTCCAATATAAAACTTTATTGAAAAAACACGTAAACAAAGTACTACTCATTATTGATACTTCAATTAATACTGTTAAAACAACGTGTATTCATCATTCATTGTATTCATTTAAGAATTCTATACCTACGAAATTATCATCATAGAAGATATAAATTGTATCATTTGTCCAATCGCAAATATCCAAAAAAGCGAGATCTAAAAATGTCCAGTAAGTGCATTGATTATTAATTTCTTAAATAACTCAAAGATTCCAACTCAGTTCGTGGCTATCGCTACTTATAACGGTTTGCCCGTGACCAGAGAAGACCTTGGCAATGACTTGCGCGACATGCTGCGACGCACGACAAACCGGGTGACGGCGCGCATGCGCCGACTGCGCGCGCATCTCGCTCGATGCATCCGGAGGTCGCATATCCCGTGCACACCGACAACGGCAACCTTGACCTTATACCTCGACCCGCTGGCCAACGAGGTCCATCCACTCCTGAGTGGTTGAAGGTCAGCAGCACCATGGCCAGGAAGCCGGGACGAGAAGAGGGAGACAAGCTGATAGTAACGGCATCGAAGAGTAAGAGAGGACCTAGCGAAATCCAGCCGCTCGATCTCCCTCGAGGACGCGTTAACGATTCTCAATTACCGCATGTCAGCCCTTGTCTCGCTACATCTCTACTCCCATCCCATCTATCTTTTTTCCTATATTTTGGTTTCGTTTTGCGCGTCTGCCTGGTTCATTCTGATTCGTATGTTCGCGCGGCTTACTTTTACTATCAATCACCCCGCCTCTTTCTTTGAGGTTAGCCGTTATTCGTTCGATTTCTGGCTTCTGGTTTTGTGGTTCAAGGTTATAAGCGAAAATAACAATAAAGGTTGCAGCAAGGAGAGGATTTCAATATATCGTCGCTTTTCGAGAGGGACGGATACGTGGGCGGAATCGCTGCAATGGGAAGTTTAAGGCTTTTCTCGCCCGTAGAATGCTATACAACGTTGCAACTGTATTTCATGTGTTATACAACGAAGGATCGCAAAGAATTTTGTATTACACACAGCTCAAGTACACGTAGATTGAATGTTAACGTTTTAATTGTGAAGATAACCTTTTCATTGAAACGTTTGCGAATTTCTGTTTTTAGTGCTCGAGAAAATATGTATGTTAATAGCGGAGTAAAAATAACTGCATCAAGCCAAATGGCTAGGTACAGTGATCTATCCAACTTTAATGTCTGCAAAATTAATGAAACACTCTACCGACTTTAAAATGAGAAAATAAATGGAACTTCCTAACTATCGATCAATGTTACCTTATTAAAATTATATCGAATAATTACGATATAATTCGAGTAATTGAGAATTAGTATATACCCGAGCAATAAATTGAATGAGATTCTTATCGTATATATTTAGTGAATTAACTGACAACATTATATAGACGATAAATAATAAACTGTTCAGTGCGGTCATAAAGAGATTACAAAGTCTCAAGGCATATCTAGCATCACACACAGTGGAAATGAAATGCTTGTCTCGCAAACGATTCTCGTACAGATTAGAGACTGTGGAAAGTCGAGGTCGCCCTTGACGTAAGCGCCAACCGCGTAAAGATACACAGACACTAAGCTGGGAAACTTGACCGAGTAACGTGCGTCAATTGTTCATTGTTTATATCCCTGAAAAAGGGCACTATAAACAACAGTGATGCTATTCTCGACAAAGTTAAACATTTTTTCAAAATCATCCTTAATTACGTCTCACAAGTGTTTAAGTAACGGAACGTTTTACCGAAACTGTCGTCCAAAAAACGTTTCAACAACTACGTTGCTCATTTGCTATACCGCATGTTTCTCAATTGCGAGTATTTCTGGCGCAATTTCACGTCATAATTTTAACTCGAGTTAGAAGCCATCTGATCAGTTCAAGGTTTCGAGATTTATTCAAGATCAATGTTCAGATTTAATATTTTAAAACGAATCAACGGAGAGATCAGTAACCTGAGCATATTCAAAGTACCGTTTCATAAAATAAATTGATAAGTCGTCAAACTTTGTGCATGTTTCTTCTTTACATTTTTTTATATGAAATAGGTTAAGTTACAATAGGAACAATATGCGTTTACTATGACATGTAATGAAACATACATAAGTGATGGTAAAAGAATATATGTACACCTATGACTTTAAAAAATGGAAAGTTAGAAACATTTTCTATTCTGAAACTCATCGGCATTGGCGCCAGTGCACCCTAAGATTTACGAGCATCGTTACCTACAGAACCTACAAGTGTTTGGCGCCGAATGCAAACTTGGCTCACACTAAGCAAATTGGAACAAGTGGATATTACCACGCCCGAGATCTATCGGCGTGTCCTTTAAAATTAAATCGATTACGACTTTCTGAAATCATACCGGTGGGAGTAACGGAAACAAGCGAGAATTAATAAACGCAAAACGAACGGTTAGAATTTGAAATTCATATTAAACGCAGTTCAGCTTTAACATCGTAGATCAATATTTATATATGTATGTACGTGTTTTAATGAAACTATATCGCCATAATTTGTTCGACGAGAAAATACGTTCCGCAGATGAATGTCTCAATATAAATAACACCTTACGAGTATTTAATATTCAAAGTTTTCCTTCATGTCTCTAAAAATAATTCATTAAAATAATACGAACATATTGAAATTTAATAGTGTTCAAAAAACCTTTTACACGAATCCAAGCCCATATATGTAGATGCATCGAGTTTCTTGACATGTTCACCTCTATGTACCAAAGAAACTGAATTTCATCGTATTATGAAATCTACGTGTCACTAAGCTTGGCCTTGACATCGACCGCTGCAACGGGTCGCCTCTGCGTAGTTACATCATCGTTGAAATTTCCTGCCAATTAAGAAGAGTCTAAGGTAACGAGGACCTTTCAAACGACGGATAAATCAACAATCGTACAAAAAGAGGGATAAAGGAACGCGAAGATGCATAGAAAGATTCGCAGTGACAAATCATACCACGTGTACTATATCTGCATGTTTCTAGAAACCACGCCAATGATAAAGCCGGAAGGCGATGATGCGATTTTTGGTCGCAGGCCAAAAAAAGTTTCGTCGACGCCACTTTCATTGCGACGACGTCGACGTAAAACGATCATTCTAAATGCCATTGGCTTTGTCCTTGACATCGACCGCAGCGTCCCGACGCTACGCAGGCCACGATTGCATCAGAATGCTCGATGCACGGAATACACCCAGGAAGGATGCCGTTAGCGGTGGAACCGAAGAGGGCGGGAGGTAATACCCAAGTCGATCATGGTGGGAGGCTTCACGTAACTGGACAGGTGGGTGGTGGAATTTATCTATATCTTTTAACCTCACACTGCATCACTTTATGAATCGCGTTAGCCTTAATTTTAGGCCAAACCAGCTTTTGTATTTATTTCTTTCCTTGTCTGTGTCTAGTCATGAATCAAGTCTCATAACGTGTAAAATCTCGATAGACTGATAACTTCATAATTGAACTTTTTCGGAGGAACGTAATTGTCAGTTTCCCTTTTTGTTGATAAAATAAACATAAACAATGATGAATTTAACATCAGTTAGGAGCATATGATTAAACATAAGAAGCACTGCTTTTCTCGTTAAAAAAGCCTGGCACTAATAACGGATAAATAACGGTGTACTCGAAAGTTTCAATTCCTCGATCAGGTATCGTAAATTGCAACTAATCGATTATCGAATTTAATTGGCGTTAATATCGATATATATGTATACGAACTTCAAATATAACAATGTTTCGATAAATTTTAATTTTGTTCTGGATATCCATTAATAATTAACAGAATTTGAAAAATAAAAAATAAATTTTAAATATTTAAAAAATAAATCATAGCCACATGAAACTTAATGTGAATTTAACTTTGAATAAAGCAAATAATTATTTATGCAGCATAATAGGAGTGTAAATGAATTTCGGTATGCAATATATTTATGTACAAAAATGGTTTAATTTCGTCCTCTGTGTGATTCATACAAACAATTCATGTTTACATACAATGCGTGCTATTTACACTGTTACAAGAACACTGCAAAATAATATCTATTTTGCATCTAGAAGATGCACCTTTTGTCCCATATTTTGTTCATATTTATATTTTTTTTTTATTTTGCTTTCTTTCCTTTATGAGCTTTAGGTTTTCCTCGGGGTGGCTTCCCACCGCGACTCTTCCCGCGTCCTTTAGTTTTTTCTTTTGCTTTCGCTGCACGTAAGTCTTTCTTCATTCTTGGATCAACCAATTTATAACGTCCTTTAACACCAGGTGGTCGTTTTGCTTTCTTCTGTGCCATATGTTTTTTCATCACTACGTAAGTGACATCCTTCTTCGGCTCTTTACGAGCTTTCTTGTACAACCTGCGCACAAAAAATGTACACAAATATATTCATACAGAAATACAAATCAAATGTCTGTTTGTTAATGAAAAGTAATAAGCAAAAGATGATACTTACGCTTGTACTTGTTTTGATTTTTCTTTATCACTAATCTCTGAATTGTCCATTATTGCTTCCACCTTTTTCTTTGCTTTTTCTAATTTACGCAATGCCCTTCGCTTTTTTCTTGCCTTTGCTTCTACTACTTTTTTAATTGGTCTAACATTTAAATCTTCGACTCGCTTTTTATAGTCGTCAACGAGTTCTTTAGGAACTGGCGCTTCTTTCTTCATATGTTTCTCTTCATCTTGTGCAAACCAATCCGGTAACTTTTCATCGTTAAATGCATATCTATTCCAAGCTGAATCTATTAAATCTCTTCGAGTTTTCTTACTTTGAACTAATAATGATCCTAATGCTAAATCTTCTTCGGTTAAACGTTTCCTTTTTTTTAACTTTGTACCTACACATAATGAAAGTAAAATCACATTGCATTTGTTATTTACTTGATAAATTTAATATATAAATAATATACACACTTGTTACTTTAGAATTATCTTCGCTGCCACTTTTCTTCTTTTTAGTTTTTTTACTTGGAGTCATCATCTTTTCCACATCATAATCAGATTCCGAATCATCGTCATCGTTATCTGCTTGTTCCTTTCCTTGTACACTTTTACCTTTCTTTATTTTATTTTCTTTATCACTATCCATAGAATTATTCTCTCCTATAACGTAGCCACCTTTCTTTTTATATTCTTCAACCATTTTATCTAATTCAAAATCTTCATCCTTTACATCTTCTAAGTTTTTAAATGCATCTTTTTCAAACCACAATTCTGCTTTGTGAATCTGTTTAATCTTCTTATCCCTATGATCTAAATCAGTTAATAAAGGATTTTCTGGAGCATCAGCAATACCCTTTCTCTTTTTTTGCACTTTATTTATACCTTCCTCATCAGATTCATCCAAACCTAAAAACTTATTATGTATAAATATTGAAATTTATGATATATATACATATATGAACAATAGATACCTAAACCTGATTTATTGCTATCTGAGTCATCATCCGAGGCATCGCTAGAACCTTCCAAGTCACTATCATCTGCTTTATAATATAACCCTGAGCTATCTAACTGTCCTTCATCCTTATTATAAGCGACTTTTTTTTGTTTTCGTTGCTCCTCGTCTGAATCTACATCACTTTCTGCTACTATATCAGGATCCTGATCCATTACATTTTCCAATTCTTTATGTGTCTTGATTGTTTTCAAAGTAAACATATTATCTCCTTCTAATACAGGTCCTTCATTTCCTTTATGAATCATTTTTAAATTGAGCCGCTCGTTTAATTTTTGCCTTTCTTTATTAGCTTTTTTCTTCTTTCTTTTAAGCTCTCTAGCTTCTTCTCCTTTAAGTTCTTCAATTTGTTTTCCAATTTGTTCATCTTCTAGATCTTCCAACTCTTCTTGACTTATTGCTGGTGCTTCTGCTGTCTTTTCAGGCACATCTTGCGTCGCATTTTCTTCTACTGACTCTTTTGCTTTTAAAGATTCCTTTAATGTTTTCCACCAACTCATTAATTTTCGCAATTCCTTTTTACCTAATACTTTAATATCTTTACAGCATTCTTTGATTTCTTCGGTCGTTTTTTCATGATTTGTTATTATTTCATCATCAAAAACAATTTCAGAAGCATCTTGCAATGCTTCTACAACATTGTCATGTGCTATAAAATCTTTGACGGATAATTTATGATATAAAGTGTAATCATTTTCTGGATAACCTTCTGCTTTGTGTTTGCTTTTTTCAGGATTATATACATTTAATTTATTTGAAGATTCTATGTCTAATTCAGAGAAAACATATTTTGGATCCAAAAATTTAGGGTCTAATTTATCTGGAGCAATATAATATTGACAAACAACAAAAATTTCAGCAGATTCTGTACGTGATGCTTGTGGTTTTGTTGCATGTACCTTAAATAACATGTTTCATTAGAATCTTCATATAATAAAAATTATATTTCTATATTAAACAAATTATATACCTTTCTGAACAATTGTTTTAATACCCAAACTAATGGATGATAATCTTTTGAACGAAAAACTTTTGTAATAAACCATCCACCAGGTCGTAGAAAATGTGTTGCCATTTTAAGAGCACCTAAAGTTAAGACAACTTGCTGATATGCATCATGAAGCCAATTTTTACCAACATTTGGTGCTCCATCGTGTAATACTACATCAGCTTTCCAAGTCTTCAATTCACGAGATATTAATACACGACATTTATCACTTGTGATATCTTCTACTAAACCAATACACCCTGGAATAGGTTTTATAGGATACAAGTCTACACCTATTACTATAGAAGATACTGGCATATTCTGTCGGGCAACTTGCATCCACCCTCCAGGAGCTGCACATAAATCTATGCATACTCGTGATTTTTGTAAAAATTCAAATTTTCGATTCAATTGAATTAATTTAAAGGCTGCACGTGACCTATAACCTACAAAACATAACCTATAAGAAGTAGTACTTATACACGGTGTATAATAAAAATAAAACTTTAAGCATAATCTGCATTCAGTATTTAATATGTCACATAGAAATATTTACAAAATGAATAAAAATATCTTAATTTGTGCAGTTTTCATTACTGATTATAACATTCTCCATAAAAACTCACCAGTTTCCTTTGCTAATTGGTAAAATCTATCCTTTCTTTGTTTCCCAACTTTTCCTTTTTTACCCATTTTGAATTATAAACAATTATATCATTTATAAAAAACTTATTTCCTTTAAAAACATTGATTTACTACAGAATTACATGTACCATACGCGGCCATACATCAACGTTCTAAGAGTGGGGTAAAGAAAAAATGACGAATACTTGTAAACTGCTTGTAATTTATTTTCAGAACACAAAATTATTTTTAAACACAAAATAACATATTGACTGCATTAATAAAAGCAACATTCATCTGTGTGTATAACAATAATATTTTATACAACATTATTTAATAATTCTACATAGTGCAGTAATATTGTCAAAAGTATTAAACTTTCTGTTATAACAGTAACATTCGAGATTTGGTTGATTATTACGAGTCACCTAACAATATCCGAACTTAGTTTATTTCATTTTGTAATGGAATATTATTTAAACAATTAGTTGCTTGCAAAAAAAATGGACGTGGTTTGTAAAGGAAAAATAAATAAACCTTATCATACTCATTTCTCTAGTGCTATCCTTGTTAAATGCTATTCAGTTCCTTGACACTCTTCGCTATTGCTATCTACGTCACCTCCATTATATTTTACTGATACTTATAATCAATTTTTAATTGATTTAACATTTCTAATATTGTAGATAATAAAATATAGTTTCTGGTTTATTTTCAAATACTTTAATCATAGAATAATAAGTGTTCCTTGTTAAATAATAATTCAGATGGTAGTTTATAATTATTGCAAGTATTAAATAAATGTGTTGTATAATTTAACTTAATAAAATAGTTTAATTTCGTATTGAATTAACAATTGCATGTAGTACATTAGTTAGAAATTGTTTATAACTTTTATTGAAAATTTGAAAAATTAATGTTCTTTTTGTGTGAATTGCAGATGGAACACTCAGGCTGCCGCAGGAATCCAGAAAAGGGTTTCAACATCAGAAGAACTGAAGAAATGCAATTATTTATCGAAAAATCAATTATTTATTGTAAAATTATTATTAAAATGTATTTTACAAAAGGTTACAATATACCAGTATTATTTTACAGCATTTTACAGTCTATTTACTTCTCCCATATACACCACATTGATTTCCTTTGCAAACACCTCATTGTTTAAACAATATATCATTGAAAAATTAAATAAACAGTACAATATGTATTTTACAAAAGGTTACAATATTCCAGTATTGTTTTACAGCGTTTTATAGTCTATTAACTTTTTCCTTACCCGGCATGTCCATTTCCTTTGCAAAAAACTGATTGTTTAAACAATATTCCATTGTAAAATTAAATAAACGGTTCAAAATACATTTTACAAAAGGTTACAACATTCCAGTATTGTTGTACAGCGTTTTACAGTCTATTAACTTCTCCTTTACACACCAAATCCCTTTCCTTTTGCAAAATAACCCATTGTTTAAACAATATTACATTGCAAAATTGAATAAATGCATGCCAGAAACCTCCAGGAATGAGTTTCCATCGAGAAAATCGAAAAAATCCCGAAATTCTAGCGAAAACTACGAAAATTAGGCGAAGATTTCGAAAATCGCGCGAATACACTCGTTCGGTGCTAAGGTCCTCGAGAATTCCTGGAATTT